TTCAATTCCCATCAGTTATCCAAACAATTTGACCCTGCTCTGACCCCGTTTAGATATTCGAAATATAGCTGTAATACAATATACGTCTCGCATCATGGAATCTGTTTGATATCAGTATTATGTTTCCCTATCATAGCTGTCTGTATAACCAGAATAGTGGTAGTAGTCTGTCATCTCGCATCATGGAATCTGTTTGATATCAGTATTTTGTTTCCCTATCATAGCTGTCTGTATAACCAGAATAGTGGTAGTAATCTGTCATATCGCATCATGGAATCTGTTTGATATCAGTATTTTGTTTCCCTATCATAGCTGTCTGTATAACCAGAATAGTGGTAGTAGTCTGTCATCTCAAAGGGAGAATGAAATACCAACGTTGAAAACTGCCAATAAGGAATTGTCAGGAATATTGAGTAATCTACGCAAAGTGGAAAAAAGATTGGAAGGTAAACTTATATTGATTGATCTATGAATGCATCACAGTTATCACACAGCATGCAAACTTCATGTCAAATAGTGGATTTCATTCGTATTACATACGTTTTAAGGGACCCTTATCTACTGATTCTTTGTTATGTAATGTACCACTGATAAGTACAACATAACAGAAAACCACAGGGTTATGTTTACACAGGGTTCAATTTAGACAGGTTCAGACAGTATCAAGTAATGTGATAATGTAATATTTACCTAATTACTGATTGTACAATTTAGTTGAGTGAGTGTTTGGCATTATGATATATCCATATACTATAGCCTGTAGCAATGTGACGTCATTCATTTACGTTTATGCCATCCAGCATGCGAATGTTTTTATGACAAATATCGCTACTTGTTCAGCATTAGCTCGCAATCTGCTGTTACAATGTTGCCAATAAGATGTTTTATTAACGACAGCAAAAAAGTCTTTATTTTATCTTTGAGTGGTAACAATGAATTCTTGCCAATCTGTCACTGCGCATTTGCAGAACAAGTGAAACATCCTGTTACTATAGTTACTGCCACTAGTCTACCACTTTATAAGCATTGTTCTCCTCATATCTACATGTCTTAAATTTGTAATGTTTTTTTTTTTTTCAAATTATACAGCTATTGAAAGGTCAATAGACCCTGATAATGGTATTGCAGTTGACTATAATGACGATACAGATATCAGCGTGACATCTGAAGATGGTAGAAAATATCGCCACCAAACAAGTCGGTCTTGGAAAATGGGATTGAGTACGGATAATTCAGCAGACGAATGGGATGACAATAAATCTGATGATCAATTTTTTGCATAACTATGTGCCAAAATGGAATTCGTTATCACACTCGTAATTACCGGTAGAATTGGTGCTATCAACTAGAATTAGAAGTGTATGTGGACTCTTCCATCAACATTTTTATTTTGACCACTCACAAAGTAAACATGTCTGCATGTTTTAATGTGTGGTTGCTTTCGTCATAAAACTTTACTGTTACATACTACCGCTGCCAGGATATTGTGTTCGTGAACATCTAATCACTGCTACAAATTCCATATTTTTTTCTGACTCACAAAAATTCATCTTGTGTGAAATTCCAATGGTTTTCATATTTCATAAGCAGTTTGTTAGATGTGTCTGGTTACCTAGCATAAGTAATTTAAGACAAAATGAAAATCAATGTGGAGAAAATGGCTGAGGAAGGGTTGAACTTCATGTCTCACTATATAAACATACGAGTTTTGAATATCATTGAAGTCACAATGGATAGTTTACTGAGGAGGTATTTATTCTTGTTATTCATTTGACATAATACTACTGGTAGTACTTGAACAAAAAAACAATGAAAAAATTCATATTCAATGTTGAATGGAAAAAAAAGCCTTGTTCTTTATGGCCATAATAAAATGTTTTAAATAACTACAAATTATCAACAGTCCAACGAATATAAAAAAAAAAAATACTTGAATCATTTTTTGGTATATTTTTCCTGAAATTAATAAATATACTTTTAGATATTATTAAATAACAAAATTGTAATATGTGTAAAACATTCACACAGTGCTTTTACCCTCCTTAGGAATAGTTACAAACTGAGATAGTAAAGCATGGTATTCTGGCAGCATTATCATCCAAGTGGGAAATACACTTGACAATTATTTTTAATTTAAACACTTTAAACTAATCTACTTTTATAATATTTATTAAGACATGAAAGATGATGGTAAAAGGTGCATCAGAAGTACAAGGCAAAGAATGAAAAATGTAATTGTGATTGGCTGTTTAAATCATGACATAATACATTTATGACCCTTATATGGTCAATATCACAAAAACATTTCAACCTATCACCAGTTAGTAACTTTGATCATTAAACTGTACTGTGTGCATTTTAGATTTACTGTAGTTTATTTTTTAGAGAGAGCCTTTTAGCACAATAGCTTTTAATACTTTTTTTTCACATGCCATATATCAATTGTAGCTTAGTTCACTGACTGACAGTGAATCACTTTATATCCAAGAGCTCTTCTACAATATACACAATATATGCTTTCACCACTTGATTTTTGCTGGAGAATCTGTTCATTCATTCAAGAATCAAACTCCGGCCAACATAAAATATGCACTAAAATTATTTGACTACATATTATTTTTTGTATTTGATATTGTGATCAAATTAACCCTAGGAAGCCAGTAAAAATAATTTTATGCACTGTTATTTCACAAAATTAAATAATTATGTAAGTTGTGCTAATTCTGCAAATTCTTTCAGGATACATAATGATCTCAATAATTTTGCCAGGATTACCAGGGTACTATTATTTACTGGGATGGTGGATTCATGTAACTTATCTTTTTGTTTCAAAACATTTAAGGTGCCAATTAACATTGCAGTGTTTCTAAACAGTACCTGTATGTGACCTGTATGGGATTTCAAACAAGCCAACAATGAAATGCATGTCTAGTTCCCATGATACTGTGCTCACTAACAAGAACTGTCTGAATATAATCCAACACCTCTATCATGTTAACATACTTATAACATATATAAAATCAGTTGTTTTAATGTTACTATTTTAACATTTTGGGCATGTAGACAATTTTACAATAAATTTTACAAACAATTTTATAGTAAAACAACAAGTTATATATTATTACAATTTCACATGGTTTTAATGTACTGTATTTGCTCCATTCGAAGTGCATTTTCAATAGAAGTGCAAATAATCGAAAATTTACTTTCGCTAGATTATTACTGGGTATTACAATTTATTTTCACCATATATACATACCTACAAATAGAACAAATATGGTAGCTGCTAATGTCACTGATTTACAGAAATAGCAAAATGAAACCATGTGAATAAATAATACTGTATACTTGGAATTTTTTTTTTTTATTTTAAATATTGAGTGTGACGGGTCACACTGTGCACTCTATCATGACATTTCTTCCATTTCCAATTTGTCTGCTATGAAAATGGACATGCCTTTCAGTTTAACCATGTGTATTTACTTATCTTTCTTTTTATCATTTTTGCCATTATTTATTTCTTGCCAGCTCCGTGCCTCTTGTATTTGTATTTTAAGTTGTATATTGTTTTTGTAAATAGCATATTGCGTAAATTGGCGGCAGAGTGTGCTTGCCTTGCAAAATTTATGTACTTTTAAACAAGATGGTTATTGGTCACATGACTAGTCACCTAACGCATGACAGTGACTGTGCACATGTACATTAGCTCAGCTTTTAAATGAAAAGATTGAGTGCCCAATTATCTTTTATCTGAATCGAAAAATACTTGTGAATTTATAACATTTGCCCCCCCCCCCCAAAAAAAAAAAACACAATTTTTTTTTTTATTATGTATAAGAATTGGTTGCCATGGTATTGATAAAGATAAAACTAGAAATTGGGTACTCAAATATCAATGACATAGATTGAAAAATTATATTTTTGAGTGACTATTTATTCATATTATTGCAAATATGTATAGAGAATGCTTTAAAATACCCATTTACATGAACAGTAGTAACTCTATTTGCTTTTTATCTTTAGAATCGTCTATCACATATACCCAAACTTGCGTAAGTTTTGTGATTGTTTCTTATAACTATCAGACAACTCGGTAAATATAATGTTTTGTACACAGAATTATTATAGAAATCAAATCAGGTTAGAAAGTTAGCTTAGTTTTACATTCTGCAAATTAGAGTAATTTGTTAATCTTGACATTCGTAAATTTCATCCTTACTGAATACATTTCAATGTTTTATTTTTAACAGTATCATGTAGTAATAATATCAGGATTATGCTTAGATGTTGTAAGATTTACAGCAATGTCCTTTCTCCTCCATTTCCAGTCCTTTTTTGTATTTTTAAGCATTTTTAAAATTTGTGTACATAGGTATTTGTGGAATAAAACTGCTTATCACACTGTTACCTCATTATCATATACTGCTACCATTTGGTGACGCTATAGATTGTGAAAATTGCTAATTGAACACACTGTGATTTATTGCCATGTCATCAGGCAGAGTTTCACTCACTGTTGGTAACAAGATGTGAAAACTGACCAAATTTGTATTTAAGAACAAAACTTGAGTCCTTCATACAACCTAAGATTTATAAATTGATTTACTTAGTGGTTTAACAACCATACTCGCACATCATTTTTATAAATTCTATTCATAAATTGAAAATTATACATTTTATAAAACAAGTACTTATTTGACCATAGAAGGTAATTTTATTACACTCGGGCCACTAAATTTCAGGTAATTTGTTATAACTATGGTAACTTGTAGCTTATTACCAGCGTATTTCATTTACAGATGCCCAGAGTCAAAATACAACTTTCAACTCTAGGTGGCGCTGTTTGATAAATTCCTGTGCTTCACAAATCGATATGCAGATTACACTGCTGTAATATTAACATCACATAGGATATTGGTGTCTTACCTGATGACACAAATTTCATATATATGATTGTACAGAATTTCAAGATCAAGGACATGTTTTAAAACAAAGTTCATATCAAGAAGGTTATGCTAATTTCATCGGCTTGTTCGCACATGCACGTCGTCTGATGCTCCCACTTTACTGTCGCAGTATTCTTTTTTTTTATAACTCTGTAGTATCCTAATACATGATCTGAGCAGAGTGAGGAATCAGATTTGTCATGAACAGCTGTAATTGTAGAATAACAGTGGCTACACAGCATGGTATTTTCATTATTCAGATCAAAAACACAAACTACATTTAGTGAATATAAATCTTTTTATTCTAAATGGTAGAAAATATTTTCAGTATTCAATGCACAAACTAAGGATTTCCACAGATTCACTAATTTTATGTACATATGTAAATTAGATTATCAGTCAGCATTCTGATTGGTTGTTCAAGTTTATTCTTTGTTCTTTTAACACATGGAGCTGCATTAAAATACAGAATGTACGTTTTATGTACAAGACAGTGAAATATACAAATCAGAAATGCTACAACCACGCGATGTTCAGTCTGAGACTGCTTGGATGTTGCAGACCAAATAGACAAATTGTACCATTGGTTACATTAGAACAGATAGTAAAATGTTACAAACATTTTGTTACGTGCCTGAAATTCCAATCCTGGTACCGTACAAGATGGTGATTGTTCAGTTACCTTTGTCAATGAATGTGGGAACCATTGTTTGTGTTGTGTATAAGTATATATAACTTTTTCAGAACCAGTCCGCCATCTTCCCGCCACACTACACCACACCACACTACACCACACCACACCACACCACACCACACCACACCACACCACACCACACCACACCACACCACACTACACTACACCACACTACACTACACTACACCACACTACACTACACCACACTACACTACACTACACTACACTACACCACACTACACCACACTACATACTAACCTCTTGATGAAATTGTTTTATTTTTTTTACTATTTTTGTTTTTTCATGTGCTGTTAGAAAACAACAAATCCGAGAATTGTGTACACTTAAATTATAAATGTTATCGGTAGATTATCAATGTTGCATATTGGTATACATGTTTTGCTATTTATACTTTTTCACTCTATCAACAAAGTAAAGCCACCCAAAATTTGTCAAATACAAATATAATAAAACAAAATTCTGATACAAAATATAGAGTTTCTGTGTATAACAACAGACTATAGTTTATATATATATATATAAAGGCATAACACATTAGATAGCTGGCAGTATGTATTACATTTATGTACAAGTACAACCGAGGACAGAATAGTATGACTGTTTCTTGTATGCATAGCGAGAGATGAGGGTTCAATGTGACCATTTCATGTAACATGGTGTACAGTGGTAATGGTCATCATGTGCTGTATTGTTTTCTGTCTCTATGTCAAATGGTCACCTTGTGCTGTATTGTATTCTGTCTCTATGTCAAATGGTCACCATGTGCTGTATTGTTTTCTGTCTCCATGTCAAATGGTCACCATGTGCTGTATTGTTTTCTGTCTCTATGTCAAATGGTCACCATGTGCTGTATTGTATTCTGTCTCTATGTCAAATGGTCACCATGTGCTGTATTGTTTTCTGTCTCTATGTCAAATGGTCACCATGTGCTGTATTGTTTTCTGTCTCTATGTCAAATGGTCACCATGTGCTGTATTGTTTTCTGTCTCTATGTCAAATGGTCACCATGTGCTGTATTGTTTTCTGTCTCTATGTCAAATGGTCACCATGTGCTGTATTGTTTTCTGTCTCTATGTCAAATGGTCACCATGTGCTGTATTGTTTTCTGTCTCTATGTCAAATGGTCACCATGTGCTGTATTGTTTTCTGTCTCTATGTCAAATGGTCACCATGTGCTGTATTGTTTTCTGTCTCTATGTCAATTGTAGTTACCACCGAGTTCGGTAATTCCTATAAAGCACAGTATGGATAACTTGTATATTACACAATATGCAACATACACACTATTTTATCCTAGGTTGTAAAGCAAAGTTCACATAAAGTGACTGGCTATGAGGTAATCTGTGATCAGAATTCATTTGTGTGCTCTCATTCAAAAGCCAGCCTTTATCAGAACCAATATAGTTGCTGATGGCAACAAAACCATTGATTTTGTGATCTAATAAGAGTGAGAACACACAATGTAGTCATGGAAACATCAATACCAGTAACATAACAATGTAGAATGTCCAGTCATCTTGGATTAAGTAAACAATGGTATCCATGGTGACATACTTGTCTTCTATGCACAGTTGACACACAGACGCTTCTCATACTGATCATCATAGCTGAAAATATGAAAAAACAATTATTTAAAATATTACCCCAGCATTGTAACAGTTTAGCTACAAATATCACTGATACTTGCATCCTGTTTGTATGATGGTGGTAATTTGTATGATGGTTTAGAAGCCCAGGGAGTTGAGAATACCTGCATTTGTCATTACATTTCAGAAATACTCTCATCCAACATGTGGAAATTGAAATCCCATGTGAAATGAATAAAGTTGAGCTTGACAATATGTCAAAATAAAGAGATTGTGACATTGTAAGTGATTAGAAGATTGTATTGTATTGGAAACACAGACGTATAGATTGTACTTGTATGCTTTTAACAATTACTATACTTGTTTAATAAAACTGATATTGTAGGGTCACTCATGAAATATCATGAAATATTGATTGCATATGTTTCATTGCCAAGGCTTGCACTTCATTTGGAGTTGAGAGGGCACCCAGTTTCAAAATTTATAAAATAGAATAACGGAATATCAAAAGGTATCAAGGTAATGATCTTTGATATCCCCGTGAAGTTCAAACATTCGTTTGTTTTACACGTGAAAATTATTGCTCCTGTAATTTCATGTTTAAGAGCATTTACTCCAATAATTTCAGTGATTGAGAGCATTTAGTTACCTTTCCAGGGTGTATATTCAGTATAATGGTGGTTTGTACTTTGAGATATTTATAAAGCTTTATAGTAGTTTTGGGAATATTATGTGACGCATTCAATGGTATGAATATATGAAATATGAGAATTCACAATTGTTATCGCACGATTCAAAAGCACCAACAAATAAAATTTAAACAATCATATGAGAAGACAAAACAGATATGTGGAAAACCACAGAAAACTAAAAAAACATACTCAGACCATCAAATATAGTCCATAATCTTTATAAATAATCTCAGAGTAGAACTATACTTTGACAAATACTTACTTTATAATGGTACAAAATAGACAGTACGCCTGCATACAGTTGTCACAATAACGTTGACATCGATTACATATAGTCTTTTCACAATAATGACAAGGTGACAATGAACACTGTTGTCTATTACAATGTCTGCAGCCATTACCTGGTATATCACTAGGCTTTGCTATAAATAGGAAAGATAGGAACAAAGTAAGTACATATATATCTCCATGGTAACATGCCTTGTCATTCCATTCATAGTCATCCAAGTAAGTCTTGCTCATGCAATCTAATTGCTATTATCATCTTTTTTTCTATTAGTAGTAAGTATTTCTATGGTGTTAAAATGGTTTTACAATTATAACAGTACATTATGGTATGGCCAATGGCCTGCTAACTCCACTGATCTCTGTACATTATAGTATGGCTAATGGCCTGCTAACTCCACTGATCTCTGTACATTATGGTATAGCCAATGGCCTGCTAACTCCACTGATCTTGGTACATTATGGCATGGCCAATGGCCTGCTAACTCCACTGATCTCTGTACATTATGGCATGGCCAATGGCCTGCTAACTTCACTGATCTCTGTACATTATGGTATAGCCAATGGCCTGCTCCACTGATCTTGGTACATTATGGCATGGCCAATGGCCTGCTAACTCCACTGATCTCTGTACATTATGGTATGGCCAATGGTCTGCTAACTCCACTGATCTCGGTACATTATGGCATGGCCAATGGCCTGCTAACTCCACTGATCTCTGTACATTATGGTATGGCCAATGGCCTGCTAACTCCACTGATCTCTGTACATTTTGGCATGGCCAATGGCCTGCTAACTCCACTGATCTCTGTACATTATGGCATGGCCAATGGCCTGCTAACTCCACTGATCTCTGTACATTATGGCATGGCCAATGGCCTGCTAACTCCACTGATCTCTGTACATTATGGTATAGCCAATGGCCTGCTAACTCCACTGATCTTGGTACATTATGGCATGGCCAATGGCCTGCTAACTCCACTGATCTCTGTACATTATGGTATGGCCAATGGCCTGCTAACTCCACTGATCTCTGTACATTATAGTATGGCTAATGGCCTGCTAACTCCACTGATCTCTGTACATTATGGTATAGCCAATGGCCTGCTCCACTGATCTTGGTACATTATGGCATGGCCAATGGCCTGCTAACTCCACTGATCTCTGTACATTATGGTATGGCCAATGGTCTGCTAACTCCACTGATCTCGGTACATTATGGCATGGCCAATGGCCTGCTAACTCCACTGATCTCTGTACCATTATGGTATGGCCAATGGCCTGCTAACTCCACTG